AGTTAAGAAAACTAAGCCAATTAGATGAAAGTCGAAAAAAATGCAAACCTTCTAAACTCAAAAATGATTTCTTGTGTTAACGTTTTGAAAGTAAGATAAACTGAATTAGCCATTTTGTAGCCCTGACTTCGCTCTGTCTTTTAGCTACACTTCAAATTTTTTCATGTCAAAAATTTTCACGTTAAAAGCCACAGTGAAAAATAGTTTTTCTATGAGTTGTCATGCATTTTTTCATTAATTTCTTAAATTTTAGGTATAGTAGTACTTTCAGTAAAAGCCCCATAACTTCATCAAAACAAAAGCGGTCGGGTTTTTCGATCGGGTTTGCTTTGTTTTGATCAGAAATGATTGCTCTTCTCTATCTAGCTACAAAATCAAACTTCAGCCATCTTTTCCGTTTCTTGATTGAGCACATTATTGGAAACGCGGAGGTTGTCAACTTTTGATGTATTTTTGTAATTTCGTTGTCGAGCACACCATCTGCTCTAAAAGCGTTTTTTTATAGACCACGAGACAGAGTACATTTGAAAGTACCAAACATAAACTGAGTTCTCACTTTTGCTACACTTTTTAGCGGAAATAGTAGCAAAAGAAAAAGTTTAAGCGAAAAGAAATTTTGAGTTTAGAAAATTTACATTTTTTTCGATTTTCATCTAATTGACTTAGTTTTCTTAATTGAAGTTCTGAAATTATAACCAGGTCGCAGGAAATGAGACATGTATGGATCATTTATGATATGAAGTGAAAATGATCGTATTATGGTCCTAAAATGATTTAAATAGGAGCTTAAAATGATATCATATTTGAGTCATTTTAAGACCATTTTTTATGTGTCGTTTTTACATGATTTTTAACTTTTGATCTATGATGATCATTTTCTTACAATCATATGTGTCGCATTTTCTTCAGGGTGATAATCCCTTTTTAAACTTTATGTTCCGTTTTTCGCCATGAAGAAAGCGTTTTCAAAGGTGGGACTAGAAGCAAAAAATGTCAAAAATTAAGTTTACTATCTATTAGTCTCTAGGCTCAACTCTCTACAGAGTTTGTGGGAAAAGGCAGAGGCTAATTAATCAAAATTACTAGTTTTTTAAAAAGTTCAACTTGAAAATTAAAAAACAGAAGGAACAAAAACATGTATATTTGTATATAGTCGTGTGATGTAGTGGATAGCATCGTAGACTTCTGATCTACAGATTCAGGGTCTGAATCTCTGCACGAGCTATTTCGTATTTTTTTTTCTTTGCATTTCTCATAAATAGTCTTAAAATGGTCTTAAAATGAGCTAAAAATGATCTGAAAAGGATCGTAATAGGATCATATTTGGATGACCATAATAAGATGATATTTATCCCATAAAAAAATGACATAATTATCACTACATTATGATACAATAAAGGAGATAAATATGGGAGAAATATGATTTAAAATGAGCCATATATCTGAGACATAATGAGTCATTCATGGTTCAAATTTTGTCTCATTTTTCACGTCCTAGATAGTTTAGGAGAGAGTATTTCGCAGCGCATCTTTTAAAACGAACCCAAAGTGTGTGGAGTAACAATTGACGCAGCTATTATTATTTAAAAAACTTGCAGAATTTATGTTCCAACCCAATAATAACTCTAAAACGGGTTATCACTGAAGACCGAAATTTTCAGAAAGTTTGGGGAGCCATATGAACCGTGTGAGAAAAATATTTCGTTCGGATGAACCAGAGTTGGTGCCCCCAAACACTGAGAAACACAATGGTACAATGGGCCTGCAACCGACTCAAATATATATAGTGAGAGTTACCATCAAAAAAAAATGCTCCGATGTTAAACAAGGTAAATGTTAACCACGTTTCGATATCTCCATCACCTAGAAATTTCTTTTAAGTCAGAAAAATAACTGCAAATGATAAAGTTGTATTTACAATGCTGCTAAACACTCACTTGAAGTTGTGTGTATCTTGTTCATCAGCAAGTTGTCCTGAGCCTGGCATAGTTGACTCATATAGGACAATTCGTATTTTTGCAGTTGAAGTTCAGCTTCTAGTTTGCGAATTTCTGTCTTTTGTTGATCAACTTGTTCGCTGAGTTGCCCGTTCTCGTTAATGAGTTGGGCAAGCACAGGGCGCAGTGGCTGATAAGCACATTCAGCGAAATGCTTATCGAGCTGATGTTTCGGCCCTGTCCATGGACAGAGGATGTCCACTGATGTACAAAACACATCTGCTTGATGACACACTTTGTCGATGTGATTACCGAAATCACTCCGTTGCAAGCCCGTTTGGCCCACTTCGCACATTTCGCACATTTAACTTGAAGCCGCCCGAGCATATTTCGAACAATACGAGTGGCCTGATTAAGCTTGTCGCTGGTGATCGTCTCTCGACAAGTGGGACACGACGCATTGTCTTCCTTTTGAATCCACTTTGTAATACAATAAAAACAAAATAGATGGTCGCATGGCGTAGATCGTGGATCGACAAGTGGTTTCATGCAAATAGTACAAAAAAGATCGGCGTCGATCGTCGCTTCATCGATATATTCGAAGTTACTGTCGTCGTTTGACATTCTTCTCTGTTCTGACACGTTCTTGATAAGACTTGTTTGTTCTTGTCCTACCACCTCCCTGCTCGTCCTTCACTTTGTGCTTGCGAGAAGTGGAGCGCTAGCGATTATAACGGAAGTCTCTTCAACTGCGTGTATAATGTGTACAAACCGCAAAGGAAAAATTTCACAAAGAACTTCTTCACAGCACAAGTATAGATTGCATATGCGATTTCAGCTTCACCCACCCACAAAAATAATATACCAGAAGTTCATCCGGAAAGCAGAGATACACTGTCATTCTAGAAAATAGTGCTAGGAAATCGCCGGTGAATTTCAACGGGCGGCTATTTGACTTCACTAGCGATTTTCAAGTGTAAGAGTGTAATACAATAAAAACGACTTCTCAAAGCTCTAGGAAATTAGACTCAATTTTTCGAACAAAAATGCAGGCAACGTTGATTTTCCAGTATTCTGGAAAATCAATAGCCATTCAAGATTTTCGGGAAATGCTGGAAAGGCTAGAGGTAGAGATGGGCCGTAATGAAGTCGAATAGAACGAATACGTTTAATGTGAAGTATACGAAGCGACAGAAGGATGAATTTTCTCACTTTCGTTCTTTTCATTTCATCATTATGTCTCATTACGAATAGTCGACTATTCATATAACTTAGTTCCGTTCGTTCTCATTCGGAAAAGACAAACTATACTATCACTGATTTATGAGTGAGTACAGACGAAAGTAGTTCGACGTTTAAGTTCTTTTCTCTTTCTTTCCGGACGTGTATTCGTATACTCATTATTCGAATATTCTTTACTCGTTATAAATGAAACATAGTTTGGTATAGTGAATAACGAATAATCGTTCGTTCCTTTCTTTCGAGGCTTACGTATTACGGCCCATCTCTAGCTAGAGGGGTGGATTGATTTCAGCTGCACGAAAAAGGTGTTGTTTTCTTGGCGAAAGCATAGAAAGTGTTCCGACTTTCTGTGACACTATTAGTAGTATATTCGTTTTTTTAAGAAAAAACTGCTCGATTGTCTAGAAAGCTAAAAATCGAATATGTCAAATAATCTCGAAAAAGATTTCAAACGACAAAAATCGCAAAAAAATTTCTACTAAAAGCTGCAGACACAGCTTCTCATTTCGGAGGTCATGTTAACTTACTTCTGTTACACCGTTCTCGAGTGTGGTTGTATTTATACTCCTTCTTTCTCTACCTATAACTAACATCAGGTCTTATTGACGACATTCCCCACTATTAAGAGATACCACGTCTTCTGTTAGCCGTCCTTCCAGTGGTCTGGTGCGCTGGACGTGATACAGCAGCCAGGTCATCTGTTTTATTCTTTCTTTACATTTGTTAAAAACTTCTGTTTTAAAGTTGGAAAAGCTCCTAACTTTAAAAATACATTGTCGAAAAAGTCGGAGCGGTCATAACTGAGTTTTAAACAACATAATCAAAAACATTTTTTAGAAACGACTGCGCTTCCCAGGATTAATAACAATTCTTCACACGCGAGAAACCACTGGAATCTTTCGCTGGTTTTCAACTTTCCTATAAAAATTTAATAACTCAACCACGAGACATTAATTCGACTGTAAATTTTCAGAATGTATTTATAAGTGTTTACAGCTTAAGAGCCATTGCACGTAAGCCACGATCGACCTACTTCAATCAATGTTCTCAAAACTTTTCCAAAGTCGAGGACTCTTGTAGATAAAATATTTTAATGAATTTTGGTAAAAGGCGCAAATCAAAAAGTTGTATCGTTGCTGAGATATTGATATTTTACGAAAATCCCCGAAAAACGTCGATTCCGCCATTTTGAAAATTTGCTAACTTTAAACTCTTGTAATTCAGTAACAACAGATTACTTAACCTTGCAAATTTCCTTATAAATAGTAGACAGTGTGAGCTACAAAACCACGCAACCACGAGCTCAAAGCATGCTTTCGTAATTTTGTAATAGATTGCGCACTAAGAGCCCAAATCCAGAAAATCCTGAATTTTCCTGTGGCACCCATTTGAAACAAAGTCGATCGTAAGACTTTCAACCATATTTCCAAACAGATTATATGCCAAAGTATATTTAGTAAAAGTTTGACGGTCTCTGGTGCTTTCGTTTTCAATACAGACGCCTTGAAAGTTGCAATTTTGCCCAAAAATGACTATTTGGACGATTTTGAGAAATAATTTTCTTCATGGTAACGGGGCAAGTCTGAAGTCCCCTAGTATACTACTGAAGTCCCGCAACTTTTCACAAGGACTTTAATGGTAATACAACTACAAGTTTATTCTAGTATTCACACGGTCCTATGTGTGAGTTTCACCGAGAGTATTTCTAATAGGTTTCCTTCTGATGGGTTTTCATATGCCGGTAAGTGGTTTTTGAATAACCGAAGAACGAAAGGCGATAGAAAATTCTGGTTTTCGCGATTCGATAGCCAAGACTTTAAACTATGTTTTTGTAACAAAAACAAAGTTTAGTACTTTCGGTATCGAACGTAATAATTTTGGCTGTTGATATGATACGTTCTGCTTCCTAAAAACAAAAAAAAATAAATAGCATACCCTCAGATGATCTTCTAGTTCGTAATTTCTTCTTAAATTAATTTTATCTTCACGAGGTCTAGCCTGCATGACACATTCTACCAAAGAAAAGTTTGATGTATTATTTGATACGGTAATTGTTTCTTCATATGATGAGCCATTGTTATCCATCATATAATGCCGATTTAAAAAACGATATATTTTCATCATCGATGTTACATCATTGCACGCATAAGATAATTTAGCAGTGGATAATGGAAATTCAGTGACATACGGACCATGTCTTGTCCATCTCGAGATGGAAACACTGATTCATCATCCACCGTAAACCAGCTATCTTGTCTTTATTTCGATTTCCTTCTGCGTTGTCATAACATTCATAAAATAAGTGCGATAATTCAATAACATTGACACCGGGCACACTTTCGGTATCGAACGTAATAATTTTGGCTGTTGATATGATACGTTCTGCTTCCTAAAAACCAGAACATTTGTGATGCAACATAAACTTTCACAATCACTGATAGATACTTACATCAAAATCGGCTTTACCACTTTGCGTAGAAATATGGATAATTGCTATAAAATTTCCCACTGGGTCTACTCTGTAATCGTACATTTCCAAATTCTGCGTCTGCCTAGAAAGAGAAACCTTTTGTTGCAAAATAAACAATATCTGACTCTGCTTACCGCCGCTCATTTTGACGAAGATGTTGTTTTTCAACTATTTTTCTAATAAAAAAAACTTCGTCTAATGATCTAAATCCGTTATCTTTCCAAGTTTTACGGTAAAACCATTAATCCACACCTGCAAATTAATAATCAAATACCAAACACAAGCAACAAGAGCTTTAAATTTTTTTTAGTCCGTTATCGGAGTCGCGTCCGAGAACGGATATATAACAATCAGCTAACACTCATGTTCATTTTCCAGTCCATTGTCGGAATCGAGTCCGGCAATCAGGTCCAAGAATGCAATTATAAAAATAGGCTAAAAGTCATTTTCATTTTTTAATCCATTGTCGGTCTCGAGTCTGAGAATGGATACATCAAAACTAGCTAAAACTCATTTTCAATTTTTAGTCCACTGCCGGAGCCGAGTACGAGAATACAATTATAGAAATCAGCCAAAGTCATTTTCATATTTCAGTCGATTGTCGGAGCCGAATTCGAGAATGGATATATACAAATCAACTAAAAGTCATTTTCATTATTTAGTCTATTATGGGAGTCGAGTACAGCAATCAGGTCGGAGAACGCAAATATACAAATCAGCCAAAAGTCATTTTCATTTGTTAGTCCATTGCCGGAGTCGAGTCCAAGAATGCCAATACAGAAATCAGCCAAAAGTCATTTTCATTTTTCAGCCGATTGTCGGAGTCGAGTTCGAGAATGGATATATACAAATCGGCCGAAAGTCATTTTAATAATATGTTACATGTATATGATATTGTGCGCAAAATTGTTTTTGCACAATTAATAACTAAAAGGAAAAAGTTAAAAATCGAATAAGTTGATCTTTTTGGTCGAATATCCTAACATAGAATTGAATAAAAAAAATGAACACAAAGCCCGTATGATTTCAATCGTCTCTTTCATATTTAGAGCGACTACCGGTTTGTACCTCTGTTGGACGAGGTCTACTGTTAGGAGTATCCTCATTAATCCCAATGTAATTTTGATTTTCTCTTCCTTTTTGGTCGCATAAGGAGATTATATTCAATATTCTCAAATGTACATCACCTATTTCTGACGAAGACAACGTCGTTGTCGAAACGTCAAATAATCGTTTATTAGATAAAAAAAGGAAAAAATTACATTGAGATTAATGAGGATACTTCTAAGAGTAGGCCGCGTCCAACAGAGGTACAAACCGGTAGTCACTCTAAATATGAAAGAGACGATTGAAATCAAACGAGCTTTGTGTTCAATTTTTTTATTCAATTCTATGTTAGGATATTACTTAGACACTGAACTCAAAATGAGCGCACAGTAATTTGATTTCTGCTACTTTATAGTATAAAGTTTATACACTTTCTCAATTGCTGTGTACTATGAACTTATTATTTAACCTATTCAAGTTTTCATATCACTTTTATATAGAGCAGTATGCCCTAATTCTGGCAGGAGAAATTTCAAGTTCACTAATTTTCGTTTTTCGGTGGCATTTCTTTAAGATTAAAGAAAAATTTTTATATAGCGGTGTAGCTGAGATTCTGCTCTATCGAACTATATAAAAATATCTGAGATCTCTATTGCCACTATTCATTAATCAGAGTAAAAATAAACTATACTCTCAATTCTTTTTCTTTTCTGTCGTTTCCTAATTCTGTCATGTAGTGTGTTTTTTATTCCTAATTC